ATTGGCTAATTCGCTATAACAAGAGTATTTTTATTATATTTGTTCAAAAAATTCGTTATATCAAGAGTTCACTATATTAAAGTTGACTATATGCATAAATCTGCTGACATACCACTGTGAGTCGTAACAAATTTTTATCAAACTTGTACAGATCTGTATCATAAAAAAATCTGCGAAAATTTTTAATAATAAATCTTCAAAAAAAATCAAAATAATTATGCGATATATTATAAATTTATTTTGCAATTTGAAGGCTAATAATACATTCAAAATATTTTAATATTATTATTATTTACAATTACTAATGAAAGGTTTTAAGTAAAAAAAAAAATGTAAAAAATTAAAAGAAAACTAAGAAAACTAACTAAAGGAAAAAAAAATAGCGAAATGTTCTGAAATTAGTTAATTTTTAGAACTTTCGCTTCAAATTCAAAAAAAAAAGTTAAAAAAGATGGATATTTCTACTTTGACTAAAAAAACCAACTAACTTACTACTTGATAATTATCTAAAAAATGTTAGAATAATAAAATGTTTCAAAATTTACTTTTTAAAACTGAAACTTTGTTGGTGTTAACTGATAAATCGAGAATCTAATTCATTAATCTAAAAAGCATAAGTTCCTTTAATAATAGAATTCAGATATAATAAACATCGATATTTAACTTACAAAATCGTCATAATCACTATCTTCAAGAGTCATTTCAGTTTCTATTATCTAACTTATCCTGCCAATTTCTCCTTATCTTTTCTTTCTTGCTTCTTTAGCTTCTCTTATTTCAGTCTTTGCAATTTCGTCTATTATTTGTCATGTTACAAGGTCATTATTTTCAAAAGCTCACTATTAATATAAATAAATTATATATTAATAATTAAAAAGTATTAAAATAAATTTCTGAACTTTAGAATAATGTGATTATTTACCAAAAATGTATTTACTTGTCTTAGAACAGACTTATCATTATATTTGATACCAGAACTCTTTAGATTTAACATAATATTATATATAGAAAGTATATATGCGCAGTATATTATTGAAAGCTCCTTTTTTTTGTATGACTTAAAAACATTATATCTGATTGTCAAAAGCAATTCAAGTTTATTAAAAAGAACTTCATACACTCTTTTTATTTTTTCGCTTGACTTTCACTTGGCTAATTTTAATGAAAATGTATTATTATCGACGTATTCTAAATAATTTTCGCTAAATGTTAAAAATAGCACACTTCAGATGTTCGTAGCGATATCATTTCTTTTGCTTCTATCCTTTTGCTTGATTTATAAAATTTAAAATTATTCAGAATCTTTTTGAAAGTCACCAAAGCTCATAATCTAAGATTTTACTTACTTCTGTTAATAATTTTTCTTTGAATAAAGGTATCCAGCTATTTTTCCTATTTGTTGAATAAAATGCTTCACATACTCAGAGAGATATTCTTCCAACACCTCCTAATATTCCCAAGTCAAGAGAAATAGAATATTTGGTAGAAGTTTTTTTACAACTTTCTTATAAGTATGTTAGAAAGAAAATCATTAAGTAATTAATTGAAGATTAACACATACTTTCTTAAAATAACTTACAGTCCAAAAAGCATCTGAAAGTTTGTCAAATGCAACAAGTTTCGTTAATAACTTCGCACTTTCTTGTTATTTGTCACTGATGAATCTACAAAGTTTGTATATAGTGTTAATTTTGGTGTCCACTAAGTCCATTATATATTTGAACTCATCAATAGTTAAGTAGTGTCTGTGATCATAATCTTCAACTAGTCATGACACTTTAGATAATGAAAAAATTCTTTACTCACTGGCAAAGAATCTGGATCATCATCGCGGATGTTATATAGTAAAGAATTGTCATCATTCATCATTGAATCAGTTGATTTCCTGCTAAGTAATTCAACTGATTTTCTACGAAAAGACATCATAGATGTAGAACATTCAAGGGATTCCAAAGGTCTAGAAGGTGTAGAAAGTCCTGAAGATTCTAGTGGTTCTGAAGGTTCTGATAGTTCTGGAGGCTCTAACAGTTCTGTAGGTTTGGTTAAGAAGATTCTTTAAGGGATAATGGATTAAAGGCCAGTTATAATATTAGTTTTTATTTATGTTAGAGATTACTTATTGCATAATATTTGTAAGAATTTGCCTTCAGTGGATCTAGAAGCTCTATCTTGTAATTGTTGGGTTCTAATAGAAGTCTCATTTTGTATAGTAGATCCTTTTTTTGTTTACGTTTGTGCATGTTGTTGAAAGAAAAAGATATTATTGAAAGAAAAATAAAAGTTAGAAAAATTCTGAGTGTAGAAAAACTAAAACTATTGTTAAAGGAATTTCAAGTATAGAAAAAAATATTGTTAGAGAAATTTCAAGTATAAAAAAATTATTGTTGAAGGAATTGAGAATGAAAGAAACCTGTGATTTATATATTAAAAAAAAATGTGTATAATTGCATAATAATCATTTATATTATTCTAAAAATAAATTCAAACTGATGTATAATTGTTAAATATTAGTTAAATTGATGTAATTGTTAAATTAATGATAAGTGAAATAAATTACTATAAAATTTGTTAAATAAATCAATTAAATGATATATTACGAAATTATTAATAAATTTGCTTCACTGAATGGCGATAAAATAGTAAATAGAATAAATATTTCATCGTAAGTAAATTGTAAATCCTATAAATCCAATTGAGATATCTTTGCTTTAAATTCTAGTGATAACATTTAGAAAAAAGATAAATATAATAGTTAAATATCATTGTGGAATTTGTAGAAGAGAATTTTAATAACTAGCAAATTAACACAACAAGCTGTTAATGTTACTCTTTCCGTCGAATAAGTTAACTATGATTTGAAGTCAGGGAGACAATAGCTATGACTTAAATCCAATCAACT